ATGCTGCTTCAGTTAACTCCACAATTTGACTTTGTCACGTCGTTGCGTATTGGACATGTCTGGATCCCCACAAGAAAACTGCCTGAACCTCGCTCGATCTGAGACGTTCAGCATATAGCACAATTAAACGATCAAGGACAAAGCCTCTCCAGCAGCTTTTGCCGAGCACCTGCAGCAGGATGGACGCCAGTTTGGACTGCTTCCTGTAATCTCCATGAATGCGGTTACCCTACGCGAGTCCCCTCGCCAAACAGGATCCACGGAAATTACGGGGGCTCTTTTGGGGGGGCCCTTGTCAAACCTTTGATCTACGACTACGATTGATGGGCGGACCTTGGCCCATGTGTTTTCGGATTTTTTGTGTACGATAGTGGACTCACATCTTATGAGCCAAGCCAGCGCAATATCGTTCATGCAAGTTTGAATGAAATTGAGGGGAAGGTTGCGGAAAACGAAAAGTTTGAACATTTTTTGTAAGTTACATGCGAAAAACACAAGACAAGCTCGCACAAAAACCGCCCACAAAATGGTCCCAGGGATATGATGGCAATCATCATAAGATCTGGGGGAGGTTGTTCCAAGTTTTTGCGGAAAACCCTAAACCCTGAACCGTTTGTTAGGTTTGACTGGGAAGATCACTGCCAGGACTGGCCTTATTTTCTGTTGTGGGGAGATGAAGATGGTGATTCCGGCACGCAAGCTTTTTTGAAGGCTTCAAGATTTGCTTGGACAATTGCGTGGAAGCACTTACCTTATGCACATCTGACGAGATGAGGCTGTGGACGACTATGTCCGAAGGCAGGGTTTGGAAGTCACTTTTTGGACACGCGGTGCAAACTGATGTTTCTGTCTCCAAGGTAAAACTCGCACGTGTTGTCATAACGTTAATGCCATCCTTGACAAACAATGATGGATTCACCTGAAGCCATGCTACTCCGCGTGCAAGGGCCTAAAGTTTTCTTGGAATGCATAGTTCTTTTTGCATGGAGTGAGGCGTGGACAAGGCAGCATCTCGCAATCCCTCGTGGACGTCACGTTCCCAAACACGTCTATAATTGTTTACGCGAGCGCACTATCGCAGCAGCTCAACATATGTTTGTTCCGCACATCCGCTATTCAGATGAAGCCACTAATTCTAGTAGCCACACGTCTTTACAAGGGGTATTTGAACCAGCGGTGACGCAAGTACCGGCCACTCAGGAAAAAGTTGGCGAAGGCATCGCTGATGCTTCAGCCAAAGGTAGCTGATGTCGATAGTGATGCCTAGCAAAGGCTGCTCACCTGCAAGGGCTCCAGATTTTCGGACTGATGAACGGGTGGTTGATTGCCTCGGCGGCATTGAGGCGGCTCTCCTCCATCTTGTCAAGCATCCTGCGGATGAGGTCCGCGCAGTCAGCAGTGATGGTTCTCGGCAAGGAAATCTTCATTTTCCTAGTCTTCGACTCGCTGCTGGAGTGGATAGCTGCGGGCCAGTAGAATTTGTTCCCAACTTGCGCAGTCAGTCGGTCAGCGGCGCTGGCAGCGCATGCTGTGCCGAGGTCAATCAACACAATCTCGCAGTGCTTGTCAGAGAGAGTCTGCCGATCCAGGAGATAGCTGGCATCGCGGTGGATGCGACTCCTTAAGCGAAGGTAGTGGATGGGGGGCATCTACCTGGTACGCGACGTGGGCCACGTCTGCGAGGCCGGCCTGCCATGCAGTTCTTCGAGTCGGCTCACGGCCTGGTCCAGGTCCCGCCCTGCATGCGGTCCATCACGATGATAGGGACCTGTTATCGTAGCGTTTCACGTTTCTCAGCCTGGCGGCGATTTTCATTGCCATTTCTTCCCTGCCGTAGGTGTGATGCAGGCTTTTACCGTCCCGAAGCTGCCGGAGCCCAGGCTATGACCCACTTGGTAGGTCACCTCCTGTGCCAACGGACGCACCACTGATGCCTCCGCCTCGCAGATCTTCTGGAGAACACGGCGCATAAAGCATCTGACGACAACCTGCTTCACGAGGAGGCGTCGGGCAGCTGCGCCAGTCGCATCGGCACAGTTGAGCTGCATCTGACTCAACGAGTGCCGCGTACGATTTGACCTGAGAAATTGGGCATAAAAACTCGTAAAGCGAAGATGCGGTGCTGTTCACGGCCCAAGGTCTCCAACACCACCACACCGACAAAAAAACCAACCGCCCCGTGGCGACCCCGTGTTAACCACTGCCGCAGCAGATGAGGTTGTAACACTACCTGCCGAGCTGGCAGCGCCGATGCCCAAACCAAACTGCATGGCAACCATAAATTCAAAAAGCACGTACCAAGCGATGAAAACTCATAGATGCAAGTTCTGATCCCAGGATCCTGAATGGTTCTCGGGGTCCCTATAGTAGAAGCCTTCTAGTACTTGGGAGGTTCATTGGGATCCCCCCTCTCTATTGAAACTACTGTATGCTTTGGTTGAAGGGCGGTGCTACTTGAAACCATTCCATGGAGCGGTCTTCGCAGCCGCAGCAGTGGTTTGGGGAAGTGTGGGGACTCACCGCACTCTCACCACAGCTACCTTCAACGGGAAATGAAGAACAGCAGACAGCCGACATGTAAAGTCACTTAGGACTTAGGATCGTATGAGGGTGTGTATGGTTTTGCTGTCAGAAGCATGTCCTGCAATGGCCATTTTGGGTACAAGTACTACTGTCTCCATGCACTAAAGCTAATCACAAAACCGAATTGTCACATGATGCAGAAAGTACTTCAAATCCATGGCTGGAAGTCGCAAGTGCATCAGCCTCAACCACTCCTGTGTCTAAAGCGCCTCCAAAGTCCTAATAAGATGTCAGGCCAGATTTGGTTGCAGTTTATCATATGTATGGTTGATTATGGCTGTCCAGTTAGCACACAAAATGCTGAAGCAAGAGTTGCATCTCCCAGAAAGCCTTTGAGCTGAAGCTTCCATGTCGAGGAGCCTGAAGCGGGGCTACCAAATGGCTGTCAAACTGAGGCTAACAGACGCGCATGTGCCGCGGTTTAAGACCTGTCGCCCAGCATTTCGTGTCAACATGCTAAGAGTGAGAGAGCTCTACCCATTTGCACACATGATCCTTGAATAGGCAGAGACACATGTCTCCTTGTCATCATCTCAGGGATCGTTGTTCAGCATCTGGTCTGTTCACAGCTGAAGCCTCTAAATGACCTTTTGCAGTACTAATGTGATGATCGGGTACTTCACTCCTTCTTTGTTGTTTAGCACGGCACTGTCGCTCCATTCGGCCAGTCTAGGGGGAAGTGACCCGTCTACACAGATGAAAAAAACTCTGTAACATTCAAAAACTGGAAAGCCGCCCGAAACGGCCTTGGCTGGAAATCGACACGAGGCTGCTTCGGCTTCGAGCAGAACCTGTCTCGTCGGCTGGCGCATGAATGACAACGTTCCGTACCTACGAGTATGTGCCTGCACGCATTCCAGGCGTGGCCGCTGTGGGTGAGGAAACCCGAGAAGCTGCCTGCACAGAATTTGTTGCAGCGTCATTGAGCTTCAGTTTAACCACAAGGTGCACAAGATTGGAGCGTCGTTTGCCTCTCCTTGTTAAGTCTGCCAAAATGCAAACGGAATCGGTGTGAGAAAAGATGACACATGTGGTCTGAACATCTTGAACACTCAGAAACTGTAAGAAACTTGGCACAACTTTCACCACATTCTTCTGCCGCCTCGACTGGGAGCAATTTTGATGTAACTGCCGAATGAGGGCCTCATCGCAACATTGACATTGGCACAAAACCCAGATTGTGCTAAAGAGCGGGAACCAGGTCGCGGACTCGCGCTGTAGCTGGAAGGATAGATCTTCTCCTAGCGTCAGCTGATAGAGTGCGGAAGACTCTGGCGTTGTTGATGTTACTTGATGGTTATTCCCAGCAGCCCTTCGCTCCAGGTAGCTGTCCACGAAGGGCTCTGCCGGAAACTGCAAAGGTTTGGTGACCTGCCGTGCACATTGACCCCACACATGTTAACAGCTTGCGAAGCGTCTCCTTGTCTCCCCCTGGAAGGACTGGAGGCCGGGCTGGCTCCTCTCGAGAGACGCCACTTCGCTTGGGGCTCCCTAGGAGCTACAGATACAAGGCCCATGCCAAGCTGTATGAACTTGAATAAGCGGTAGTGCTGAGAGGGCTATTCTCTCTGACCGAAAAAAGCCGCTCCCGGTTAGTTACGGTTAGTTTGCAATCCGCGCTTTGGCTATGGCTACGCTCTGTCTATCAACTTGTGATCCAGCTTAAGCATGCTTAAGCACACCTCAAACAGGCCTTTCCCCACGACGGCCCGACATGACACAGCTACCACCGACATTTTCTTGCCGCCCCTTGCACCCAAAAACTCTGATGCCTCAACTTCTGTGATGCTCAGCGTGCAACCCGCCAAGGAACAAGGGAACATAGCATGTCTCTCTGCCCTGCTCGCAGTGGCCTCTGAGACGGTGGGCTCAAGCACTGAGCCTGATCAATGAAGTCAAAGCTCTAAGCTCTACTTATGTTCCTGCTACCACTTGTTCAGCGACGCCATAATTCATGGCAGGTCTGCCCTTTGTGGCTTCAGTGGGGCGATGAAGGCCGCAGTCCTTGCCAGCAGGCTACCGTAAATTGAACTTTGCCGGCACCTTCTTAGCCACGCTGGATGCTTGTCAAAACAATATGCTGAAGTCTTGAAGGCAGCTGTGTAGAGTGCAATTCCTGACTGTCTTTCCGAAACAGGCACTTTCACGGAAACACGCCTGCAGCAGCTCATGAGGGCATTGCCTGTCTTGGGTGCAGAATACTCTGACAAATGCTCGTGAACAGAAGCAGGCCCGGAAACTGCAAAGGTCAAGTCACGATGAGTGTGCAGGCTACGAAGCATGTACAGACATGGAACATGTCTAAAGCTACCCTGAGCTCCTACAGAGAGGATTCTGCACGCAATTGCCAGTCCGAGAACTTTTTAAGGATCAGACGAGGTTGAATGAGACGGCAAATGGAACAACTGCTCTTGGACCTAAGTGCCAAAATCCTCTGGCACAGGCTCTGCGGCTGGCATGGCTGCCATCGTCTGCTCTCCGAGCATTGGCTGCGACATGCCGCAACCATCGCAAGCTCCTAAACCTGCACATGCTCCTTGGCAGCCGCAGGCAGATAGGCCGCCCAAGGCATTCATGTCTGTTGGCATGCAGCCACCATTGCCACAACCATTCAGACCGCAACCACATCCACATCCACAGCCGCAGCTGCTACAGGCACCGCAGCCTGCACAGCCACAGGCTCCGCAGCCACCGTCTAGTCCGCCACAGCCAGTGCAGCCACATGCGCCGCAGCCTGAGCAATCACCAAGGCCACCGCAGCCAGTGCAGCCGCAAGCTCCACAGCCAGAGCAATCGCCCAGACCGCAGCCACCACAGGCACCACAGCCACAACCGCCGCAAGCGCCACAGGCGCCGCAGGCACCACATGCGCCGCAGCCTCCACAGCCACAACCACAACCGCAGCCAGGGCATCCGGCGCAACCACTGAAGCCAGCGCAGCCCAGTTGAGGCGCCATCCCTCCCATGGCACTCATGTCACCGAGGCCCATGCCAGGCATTGCTGTCATGCCTAGGCCAGCACAGCCCATATTCATTGCTCCCAACATGCCGTTCTGGGCATATGGGTTGGCAAGCTGGGCCACCTCTACGCCAGTCCGGACAGGACCGTATCCAGCCTGTGGCTGGCCAGGTGTAGCCAGCGGCATAGATCCACCGGTTACATTTTTTGCAACCATCTGACCTGGTCTGTTGATGCTGGGCTCAACATCGTACGTGACGATGTCGCCGGGCTTAGGCATGGTGCCAACGCACTGCTTGACATGCAAGAAGACGTCGGGCCCTCCATCCTCCACGGCGATGAAGCCAAATCCTTTCCGGGCAGACTCGGCAAAGGACCCATGAAGGCGAATGTCTCAAAGGCAAGCAGTCCTTTCTCAGCATTGAAGGTCTTGACAGTTCCTTGTCTGGTGCCCATGCCTGCATTTGCACCAGAATGTGCTAACAGGATATGCAGGCTGTCAAGAACATCCAGCTCAAAAATTATTGCGCCAGTCAAAGCTGAGTTTGACATGCAATCAGAAAGCCCACGGAGATGCACATGCAAATGTTTTCTCAGCGAGTCTGTGCCTTTAGCAGCTGCGAAGGAGCCAAACCTCAGGCAAGGATGCCACACCACCCACAAAAAGTGACACTTCCCACAATTTTTATGCAAGCTCTTGGAGCGGGTTCTGTATTCAAACAGCATGCTGCTGGAAAGTTGCGCTCACATACTGCTCACTTCAATCCACTTGACCAGATGTAATGGTGGATGGAAATCTTACACCACGTAGGATCCCAACATATTGTAATTGCGGCTATATAGGGTGGTGCAAGAGTTCCTCCATCCACAGAATCACAAACTGCCAATTTTGATGCTTCTGCGCTCACCTGATGGCATCAAGCCTTGAGATGCAATCCAAAGTCAAAGAAAACGGCCTAGCATATCTCAACCCCTCGTTCTTACGTCGTCGGCTGCAACAGCAACATGTTGGAAGCATTATCTCAGCTGGTTCTGGCAAGTTTCGGGTCAGTGGCGCCAGGCTGCTCTTTCACAGCCGTTCCACCTTTAACGTTTTTGGCCTGGCAGAGTTCACGAAGCAGTTTGCATATATGACGCTACGCAGTCCGGCCTGCATCTGCCCCGGCTTCGACTTGCTGGGCTCCAGGTCAAACCTCAGTGCTCTCTGGCAAAGAGGTACTTGCCAAGGCTGGCGGCACTGATTGCAAATGCCCCTCACAACGCCCTAAAGCTTTGGAGGCTATCAGTCTGAAAATGTCTGAAGACAAGAGGCGTCAGCACGTCGCCTGCTGCTGGCTGGTTTCCGTCGACGCAGTCCTGGAGTTGGGTCATAAGGCCATGGACAACGAACAAGCTTAGCACTGGCCTTGATGTGAATAAAGACATCTGTTCCCGTGCCGCCTTGGCTCAATCGAGGCTCAGGCTGCACACAAATCTGCTTATGAAACTTCACGAAAAAATCATGGCCAAAGCCACAGTCGATGAAACCGAAGCCCTTTGCGCCATTGAAGGACTTAACGGTGCCCGTGGCGCTCATCACAAGACCTCAAGCCGCAAGCCAATGGAATCTCATGGCAATATGTTTCAAGCTTCAGTTATGTGTGACATGTGCCTGCTGAGATCAGAGCAGCCGAAGCTGAGGCAGGCACCGGTCGATTACAATGCGGCATGTATGTCGAACCTAACCTCAAAACCAAAGCCGCATCCTTGGAGCCAAACGACAACCGCAGCGTCAAACGGTGCGCTTCCAGGCTACAGCTCCTCACCGTTCCTGCAAAAAAATTAAGACCCTGCTTGTAAGGACGCCTCTCGTGTGTAACGAACACCCCTCTGCCACGCCGACAACAAATGTCCATCAAGGGGCTATTCAGCACATCTTAGCACTGTGCAGCACAAATCTGTTTCCGCCTCCTTGCTGTTGGTGCCAAACTGGTCGTCTTCGCAAAGAGGGTTTAAGCCATTGAGCATTCATAACAATAAACGGCAGAGTCTATGTTGTTCACAAATATTCCCAGGGAACCCTCCAACTCTACTTTATAGGTCGCTTCTCAAACATGGCAGGCCGGCGGAGCAACGTAAGGATTCTCGGAGGAGAACTTCAAGCCTTGGCTAGAGCCAAATGACCAAACTAGACCAAAACAATCCTTGATACGACAAACGCGAGAGAGAATGTCGCCAAGGCTGTTTTTTTTTCAACCGAACACTCTTGATTCCACGGCCTGGTAGAGGGCTCTGCCCGAACATTTTTAAGTTTGCTACAACGCATTGCCTCCCAGATCGTGCTATGTACATGCCGGGGTGAGATGGCCATGCGATACTTGGCAGTGCACAGCTATATACTGCACTGGTGCCAAGGTGCTTGGCTCCCAAACGCACTATGCGTGCGGGATGAAACATGTTAGCCAGCATAGGTTGTGGTGGCGTCAACCGCAATGCGTTCTACGCAGATGCGCGCTCAAAGCCCTGGTAGCTCCAGGAGTCAGGGTTCACTACCCGGGACTCACAGCCACGAGAGTCGTAGCCGAAGTTCAAGCAGCAAGTCCAGGCCTATCGACAAAGCAGTCAAGTCCATGGATCACAAATAAAGGTTGTTCTGCCATACTCCAAACCAGCTACTTAGGCTCCAAGACAGCCTACTCACGCGGTCCAGCGCCTCCCGCTTCTCTGCCTCATTCCAAACGAACGTGCCGGGGTGGAAGTGCTCCTTGTACCTACGATCCTGCAGGGTTCTGGAAGAGACTACAAGCAGTTGCTGTGGAACTGCACTGGCAGGAATGAACCGGAGACGGCTGCTTTCCAAGCTCTCTGGTGCAAGCCATATGTACAACTCTTGAGATCTTGCAAAATCCTTTATCATGATCATCTGCAGTCCTGAGTAGTCAAAGATAAATTCGGCCGGAAGCTCTCATGCTGCACTGGGAAACGAGACATTTTCTCGTCTGCCAGCAGCTTTTCATTGAGCAACCTCAGAGGAAACCACCAACACGCTGGAAGCGAGAGACTGTGAAACCACCATCGCATCACCCTACCACTGCCGCCGCAACCACAGCATGAGCAGCAGTCGCATGCCAAGATATACTCCAACGACCATGTCAAGCACATAGCCCAGAAAACCAAAGCTCACCATCTGGCTAAGCTGCCTCTGGGCCATTGCTTGAAGCCGCTCTTCGGAAGCTTGTGGAAATTCAATTTTGAGCTCCCTCTTGAACTGGTCCTTGCAGGCTAGAGTTGGGGCCCTGCCGGGTCACCAAGAACCGTGTCCCAAATCAGTTGGGCAGATCATGCTACGTTACAAGTATGCACCATTCCTATGGGTAGTTCCCAGCATTAAAGTCTCATTTTGGTATCTCTTGAATAGAGGGTGCCGTAATATGATCTATAACCAAAAGGGGCGCACAAATTTGAGAACAACCCCTACGGTAGTTGCTCCATAGTTGCTGAGCGATCACTTCCACTACCCTCTGGAGGGGGGCTTTGGAGTTGAGATTTGAAGGCTCTTTTCTGAGTGCTGCAGAGAGATTGAGTCTTGGGTCTCTGGCAACAGGTGTGGTGGTAGCAAACGCTCACGCTTACTTATTATGGTACCAACCAGCAAACATACAAGTCTTAGCAGACCACATTGGCCCTCACAACTGCTTGGGAACATTTCTGGTAGTGAGCCTTCGTATGAAACAGTAAACAGTAAACATGAAAACATGAATGACAGCCATCGTGACTGCGCCTTCTAGAACAAGCTCCCCAACGGATTCCCGGTCCTTCAAGTCCTGGAAATCCACTTTCCGCTCCCGCAGACGGTCATTCATGTTGGTGATGGCCTGGTCCAAGCCCTAATTCCACTGCCAACTTTGACTCTTGTCCGCGTGTGGCGGTACGAATTTCGAGGATGACTGCTTGCAGGGCTCGCATCAAGATGTCTGACACGAATCCCAAGTCTTGGCCGAACATACCAGCCCCACCGCAAGCACCACGGCGAGAACGAGAAAAATTTACACAAGAAGGGAAAAACAACGATCACACACATTCTGCGGACTGCCAAGCAGAAAGCTGCAGTAAGCTACCCATCGTGACCCTTGCGAAGGTGCCAAAGGATTGCAGATTCACACCAGGGCCTGACAAATCTCCCTGTACCAAAGGCCTTCGTAGGGTTGATGTAAGCATCCTTGTTCAGCTTGCTTTCCTCGGCAGGGCGCCCTTCTCAATCCAAGCTGACATGCCCTGAGGGTGCCAAGGTGATAAGTAGAATATGGTAGAATGGCAATTTCCAAGACAGACAAATGCCTGACCTCTGCCAGCCAAGGCACCCTGGTCATCATACGTCTGCGCCGGTCGTCCTCGGTTTGTACTCCAAAGGAACAGCCCTGGCCCCTCCCTGCAAACTCTTCTTGTGACTAGTCAAGGGTTGCTTTCATCCTTTGTTTCCTTCCTTCAAGGTTGTCCTTCCGAGGATTTCCCCGAGTTTGACACAAATCCTGCTCACTCGGTTAGCTGATTACTGCACATCGGCCCTTTTAACGTGCTGCTTCGCCGCAAGGAATTCGGAGTTTTGTATCTTAAGGTTTGAGGGGACAGGTTGAGCTCAGGGTTTGATGTTCCGAGTTGCAGGTGTTTGGCTTCAACACCTGGAGCTTTTGGGCAGAGTTTGGGTGTTGGGCGCAGGATTGAGAAGTGAGACTTTACGGTCTGCATCTGGCGTTGCTGGTTTCTGAGTGTTCAGAACAGCCGGGAGGTCGTGGCAGAGCTGTGCTTACGACAGCTTGCGGTTTGGGGCACCAGGGTCTAGGGCCAAGGGTTTCAGGTGTTGGTTGAAAGGCTTTAGGTTTTAAGCTCCAGGGTGTAGGGCTTTGGTTGGGGCTTGTGTCTTTGCGTTTACAATTTCAGGTCAGCTTCTTGGTTCACGGTTTAGGGTTGTAAGTATAGGGTTCTGGTTCTTGGGCTTAAGGGTTTAGATCTTCATGTTGTGTAGTTTAGGGGTTGCGAGTCTGGTTTGTAAGACTTGGGCTCGAGATCAGATGGATTGACGAGGGTTGTGGGCTGTCAAAGGGGTTACTTTTGGAGGTTTCAGGTTCTCGGTTTCAGGTTTTCTCTTGAAAGTGCCAGAAATAAGTGACCTAGTGTGTTGTGTGACGGGCTTGGGTTTGGGGTAGAGCTTTAGGGTTGAGGTCCGGGCAGGCTTTAGAGCCGGCCAACCCTCCCTTGCTTGGCTTCCGTGCTTGCTTGATTGCATGTTGACCATGAAGAAAAAAGGAACGGTCAAAAAAGCTGGGCACCCGCACACTTGACATGTTTGATGCATCCAGGGTTCCTTCTGCTGGACAACTGCATGAGCCTGAAGGATATCTTCCTGCTCAAAGGCAGCAAGCAGTGCATGTCTCTGCGTGTCTTCTTTTGTAAGCAAATCTTTCCATGGATATATGCAATATTCTCCACGACTCTCTTGCTGGCGTTTCGGCGTCTACCTGTATCTCTACGTTCTCTCTATCAATTGCCTTACAATCTCAACTCCTCAGCAGCCCTGCCTTCGTGTGAGTGCTATAGGAGGAGTTCCAGTCGCTCCAGTGATCAGCAATGCAGTGGGCGGGTAAGCCACGCTCATCGATGGCATTGAACCATCTGCCTCGAAGGCTGGCTTCCACCCATCAAGGAGGCACAAGCAGACTGCCGGCAAGAGAACAAACCAACAGAAGGCGATAAGTACAATACGCGACTAAACTTCATGACGACAAGCAGCACATGTCCAAAACACCGGCCAACACCCATAGGTAGGAAGAGTGCAAGACAGTCAAGAAGACGAACCGACATGCAGACGGACAAAAAACGGATGTGTGGCCAACATAGTATCTCACAGTCAGAAAGAAATGCAACTGAGCAGCATAAGCAATGACACAAAAACGACAATAAGCATGCTACCCTGACATCAGTTCCGCCGAGTGACCTGAGAGTTTGCCGATGGGACCCTGGCCAGTCAAGGCCACAATGAACCTTACACGCACGGTGGCAAAAAAAACAAAGCACTGCTTATCCTGCGTGGCCTGTACTTCTGTGCAGATGCCAGGGGGCTTATGACGTTCAACGATGGCCTCGTCGGTATGAGCTTTGCAAGGCTTTAGGATTTTCTCGTCGTGGAGGCCAGCTCGCACTTGAAGCAAATGACGCTTCAGGTCCTGGCAACTGCCACAGGGGCCAGTAGCAGTTTGCAGAAGTATTGATTGCCCTAACAACTGGATTTTTAATCTTGGAGTTACGCGGCGGCTCTCACTTTGGTGAAAAGCTCCAAAGGCGCCAAACCTGCTTGACTGTCTCGAACGTGAGATATGCGATCACCTCGCCCTCGAAGGTCACCGAAATGGCCATCGTAATAAACAGGCTGCAGCTTGTTTACAAGCTGGTGGACGGGCAAGCACGTGTGCGACGTCAGCTGATCATCATCTGATCTCGTCGAGTTGATCATTCCACAAATCGATTCTGTACACATCTTATGTACCGTCCAACATTTGGTCCAGGGCAGTTTGCTAAGGCTGCACCATGACAGTAACCCTGCTGCTGCTGGGCGTTCAGATACAAGATTGCCATCTCCCTCTCGCATAGCGAGGCACAGTGCTTCACGTCGCGACCTGTGGCCTGGGGTGCAATCACAAAGCCAGGAACAGCGCAGAAAGCAAAAAATCATGCACTACACAGACACTGCAGCTACTGGCCTTGGCCACGGAGCTCATCTCTGCAAGCTTTGCCAAATCTTCCTCATCTAAGTGCTTGGCATATGTCCTCCACATTGTGCTCAAATGTTCTCTTAGGGGATGCACAAAGCTCACGACTTCTGCTCGATGCCGCACATCCCTCGGCAGCTTGTCAATACAGTTTGTCGTGCCCAGCACAATGACTTTACTTGCGGATGGCTGGCAAACACCATCCAGAAACTGGCGCAATCCGGACGCGAATGCTTCATGGGACGCGTATTGATCAATCTCGTCAAGAAACAGAATGCAGTCTCGACCACGGACCTCTTGCCGCACTTGAGATGCCCACCCGCTTGTGAAATGTGCCTGTCCACTAGAAGAAGATGCCTGCGGATTAACAGTCAGCAAGGGTAATCCAAGGGCACGTGCAAAGCTCACAGCGTGCTTGGTCTTGCCAGTACCTGGAGGTCCGCTCAGAAGAAGCAGCTGAGCTCCGTCGGAGTCAGAGGAACCCTCTTCTCTGGTTGTCCTCTGATAACGACGGAAGTCATCACAGAGTTCGGCGTAGTGGGCAAGGAGTTGTAGCTGCTGAGACTCAGTTCCCACCAGGCCATCGTCCCTGAACGCATGCTGTCCCTTTGCTTCTGCACCAGGTAGCAGCTCCTCTGTGAGTCGTAGCTGCTGCGCAGGTGCAGCAACAGCACTCTGTCCAGCAACGACAGGGCCCAAAGGCACCTGAGCTACCGGAGGCCTGTCGCGTCTGCGAGGTAGCTCCAGGTCTTCCAGCGTTACATGCAGGGAGTCGCTGGGCGTTGGGGCCTCAGACCTCGGCACAGAAGCGCCCATCCGCCCATGTCAGAATGCAATCCGTAGCGTGCAGGGCACGCGGGCGAAGGCTATCATCAGAACTATGTGGGAATGTTGTCGCCGTAGCACGTCTCGCAAGAAGGTTCTTCGGGGAATACCGACTTGCTGTAGATGCAGATTTTCTGGCCCAACCAAAACAACTACCTAACTCTGGCCGAGCAATCAACTGCGCACCTGTTGAGCAAGAACTTTGGGACGGCGGGGGGTCACAACGCAGCACAGTTGTCTTGCCTCTCTGCCGTCTGCAGGCTTTGCGACTAAATCACTTTTCAAGGTAAAGTTATTTGCTTGACACGTCCTCCAGAAAGAAACAGAGCTGTCGATGAAAATGAGTTGCCTGCTATGACCCTCGCAGAAGGCTCCAAGTCCCTGTCTGTGCGAGGTGGGATACGAAAGACGGGATCAGGGGTTGTGTACTGGTCGTGTCAAAATGCAAGTGGATACAGACTTGAGGAATGGAACCTGTTAGGAAAGGGGCCTTGTGCATGTCCTTCTGAATCTTTTGATCTGCAATTGTCGAGGAATTCCTCAGATGCAGAGCACTTCAAAGAGCTTGCAACGGGATCAGGCTGCTGCCAGGTCAAGGTGCCAGTCTCGCTTCTCGGTGCCCAAGATGTTTGGCTGCTTCCTCTTCTGAACGGCTCGTTTTGACTCAAGCACCTGCCACAAAAGCATGCTTCGTCAGAACACTAGGAGCATTTTGCAAAAGCCATGGTCACGTTGCAGCTACACGGGCATGATGAAGTCCATGGAACTGCAAGTTCTGCTTTTCCTTGGGATGCTTCTAAATTCTATATGTGCCCTCCGCGCCTCGTGAGGCACGTCCCCGCTGTGGAAGACTTTCTGTGCCAACGTATAGTTGATTTTGTCACTCTTGGCAGACCCCACCTGCCAGGCACGCACCACGTTACACCTGACGCTTCTCTATCTACAGAGCTAGCTTTCCCTGAGCTTTGAAAAGCCTTAACAGAGCTTCCTGTGACACCAGCGCACCTGGAACTTGCTAGTCAGGTAGGGATGGGTCATAGAGGAGCGCAGTGTAGCTGTGGGCTCCATGGTCGCCGCAGCCGAGGCACCCAGAGTTGACGTCATCAGCTCCTTGGTCCGCAAGAGCAGCAGAAACGACTGAAGACCAAGTGCCATCCACGTGAGCATTTACACAAACGTTCAAACGATCAAAGTCTGAAGACTCTCGGGACAAGCTATAGTTGTGCCGTGTCCCACTGGGGCAGCCACAGCTTCTTGCTGAGCCGGACTCACCCTCACAAGGGGAGCGAGTCTTCTCTCGTCTGATGTAGGCGAGGTCTTGCTACAGCTCTTTCCTTTGGAAAGGTGGGAATGTTGATGTGATAACGAGCCACATGGCTGAGGCCAACCGCAGGCATCAACCACTCCAGAATCAGTGTCACTCGGACGCTCACTTCTAAGCGTACACTATGGTCAAGTTTGATCGAAGGCTGATGGGATCCAGGAATCGCAAGGCATGCTCTGTAGTCGTTTTCATAGTCCTGGACATGGCACGGATGGGACGGAAAATCTAGGGCCACTGCTTGGCAGCAAGGTACCACTTGGAGCCCTGCAAACATGGCAAAAGCACGGCGTTTTGCTTCAGCTTTGGATACTTGCCTTCGCAAGGTTGGAGGAGGTCCTGTCTGAAAGCCATCCCGACCTTGTTAGAACAGCCAGAGGAAAAGCTGAGATGCTCTTGCCTACAAACCGCCTCGTCACTGCCTCTTGCTCCTGAGCATCCAGCTCACAAGTTGGCACCGTGACTGTCGGGACAGCCTGAAAGATCGTGGACATGCACATGCTGCAGAGGAAAATGCGCATGCTGATTTTACACACTCTGTTGCGGCAGTGCCTCTTCAGATCTCGGTGCTTCCCTTTTCGGAGTTGGCCAGAGCCCTGACATCAAGGGACACATTTGCATTCTGAAGCTCAGAAAACAGGATTCAGTGATGTTTGGTAATATCGTGCTTTTGGCAGACAAGACCTTCCGGTTCAACCCGTGAAAGCATGACTTTTAGCCCGCCGTTTGCAAAAACGTTTGCCTGCAACTTCTTTGCTTGACACCCTTGCGTCAGTTCTTTCCAACCACTAAATCGACAAACTTGGGCATTCAGGAGTGTAGTCGACACACCTTTTTCTTTCAAGCAGACGACTGTACAATATTGCCATGCAAGGAGTGTGACATTCAACCAGCAAAGTGGCTTTTGCTCATACTCTGTTAAGTGTCGTCTCAGAAACTGTATGACATCACTCGCTCTTGCAAATGTCATATGCAAAAGCGCAGCTGGACCGTGAAAACAACCATTTACTGATTGCGGGGACCCCTAGCAAAACATTGCCGAATTCAGCTGTCTCCTAGCCGAGAGGCCCTCTGAGTAAATTGTGTCGCGGGTGCAGGCACGTGCCTGCCAAATGCAGATCACATGTGAGGCACATCGCAGGATGAGGAAAGTGTGTATATCAATCATCCTGCACATATTCAATGCCTTGAATGAATCTTGAAGTGCCCACACTTCCTGCACACACGAATTTACCGGGCAGAGTTGGAAAACAAGGGCACGACAGCAAATCTTACTCTGCAGACCACCTAACTGGGCCTGAGGGTGGACAGCAGCCAACAACGTGGTAGATCCACTGCAAACTACGGACTTGACAGCTCCTTAGGGCTGAAAACTTGGAGCGCACCGCGGCGCGCAGCGTGTGCTGCAGTTAGGCTCAAGAGAATAATTATGGGTGCCAGCTGGAGAAGGCTTTCAGGTGTTGGAGCTGAAGAGTGAGTCCAGAAGGCGTGGAGTGCCGAGCAGGCTCCTGTTAGGTCAACCAATGCTTCGAGGCTCTCAACGAAATCCTCAGCATGATTCAGAACCAGCACACGACATCTCTCCAGCTTCTCCGGCATGGAAATGTCTTCTTGGGACAAGATGTGCTGCAAACCATCTGTAATTTCAGTGCAGACAGAAAATCCCTTGCGCTTTGCCTGAAGTTTAATGGCTGCCTGGACGGGCGAAAACCACCCTGACGGGGAGGTGGCATTGGATGTCCGAGGAGGTACCGCAGCTAGCAAATCACTGCCCGCTTGATGATTTGCCACATGGGGAAATTCCGCATCATCCAGTATCTCGCTGACCAGTGCCACAAGTAGGGTGTCCGAAGAGTTATGAACGCAATCCATCAACTTAGCAACATCCAGGGAAGCAAACACCACATGTTCAGACGCCATCACTTCTTCCCCGGGCTGGCAAGTCATGACATCACCAGGCCGAACCGGCAAGCACTCGCCGGAAGAAGTTCGTTTTTGTGCGTCTCCACGGACAAGTACTCGGATTTGCTGACTATCTGAGGGCACCAAACGGTCGCTCGCAGAGGCAGATAGCCATTGGCAGCGGCCACATGCCAGCAACTTTTGGAAGAGATTCATGGAGCACCCCTTCTTGTGAAAGGTGCCTCAGTTCTTTGGAGCATCATGCATCTGTGCCATGCTATGAGAGCATGCAGCCTACTCCCAAACCCCACACAACCCCAAATAAAAAGATTACACGCTTCCAGTGACAAGGTGCGAGCAAACAGCAGCGCTTCCTTCTCGTTCCAGGGTCGCCGTCTCCTGAGTTTGCAGTGCCTTGAAGGCCCCTAGGACTCCTGACAAAAGCACCGGGCCCATGGGCCCTGACTGGACGAGATCGTTGAAAGCCGAGACAAGATCATTTGTGAGGAGTCGAAGCTGATCCATCCATTCATGCGGCAACATCTGCGACCCATGGCTGTGCGTTTGTAACACCAACACGACACTTGCCAGCGTCATGAGTAGCTCGCTCGTGTCGGCAAGCATCTCACTTGTGACATCCTTCCCCACACTGGCAGCAAGTATTCGGTAGATCTGGCTCTTCGGGGTGTGTGGTTCCTCCAGCACTGCCAGCACGTTTGATGCCATCTTCAAGGCAGTATTCCATCCCGTTGCCTCCACCAACTTCTCCCGAGCTCCCTGGAAAGCAGCCTGAAGCTGATCCTCCAGGCTTGCCGAGTCAGTTCCCGCAAGATCCCTTCTTGCAACGGCAACAGCTGCGTGCGAGGAGCTAGGCGATAAAAACTTCAAGAGTATGGCTACCTGACTATGAGGGAGCTCGATGTCACAGCTGGACAGTGCTGCCGCAAACTCTGTCTCACTGATAATGCCATCACCATCCAAGTCGAAGCGCTCAAAAGCGGTCGCCATGACTATGCGCAACTGCGCAATGGATAGACCTTTTGAGTACTTCAGAGCGGCCAGAAGACTGCCCATGGTGCTGAGAAACGTTTGACGGTCTATTCCGTCTTCCCCATTCTGGCTCAGCATGCTCTTCAGCCTGGCAGTGTCAGAAGTCTGCAGCCCAATGCCAAATTTCTCATTCAAGAGATCCACCACGTGCGCAAGCAAGGCTGGACACAAACACCCTTTTGGTGTAGCGTATGCATCAAACACTTCACCAAGTTCAGCATCAAGCTGAGGTGAGGAGCTGAATGCAGCTTGTGTCGCCGAGCCGGCCACTTCACAGGCTCGGGGAGTCCAGCGCGAACCTTTTTCAGCTCCTAGACCTGCTGTAGCTCCCGCGAGCACGGAGGCCTTGCAAGTCTTTGCGCGGCGATTCTGCACAGGCAGAACGAGCGTCCTGCGTACACCCATTGTGGGAACCGAAACCGATCGGCGCAGAGACGTGCCTGCAGATCTGGGAGTTGAATCCGGAATGCTGGAGTCGCAACTCTCCGTGCATTGTACAGGCAAAGCAGTAACACCAAATTGCACCGGACTGGGTGGCCTCCAATTTAGAAAACTTGGAGTTGTTTGAAGCAAGCGGCCTATGCAGCGAGGGCTATACTCAGCAAATTTCCTCCCTGCAACCCGCACAGCTCGCTTTAGAGCATGGCTTCGTTTTGCTAAGGCCAGAGCACACACAACAGTCCCTCCAACAAAGACTGAGCGGAAACCATAGCCCGAGGGATCCAATTTGCGAACCTCATGAGGATGCTCACTCATAAGCTCTTCAGGTGTGGCAGGAACGTCCAATACCTTGTCCACATACAACAGGGTGAAACGAGAGCCCTCGGGAAAGCGGGAAAGGTAGTCACAGCAAAGATAGCCCGCCAAAATCGCCACAAATGTGGCCTGTAGCTTTATGGATTTTCTTCCAGACCAACTCATTTGTGTATGGTCGTATAGCAGATAGGAACATCGACGCGACCATGCCATCGCATTCCCGTTGGCAAAATGATTGACTGCAAAATGCGCTACTCGCGGTGTGCAGAGATGGGAGCCTATGAAGCGTCAGCACTGAGTGAACTGAGAGTAGTATGATCTCGTGTTTTCTTTTGCAATATCCCTCCCTGTCTCTCCCTAGTCTGGAGCCAAAACAAAACGTTCGCGGACGTTCCTTATAGCATGCCTGTCCTTCCAACACCCTTCAGTTGGAACTTGTGCCTTGAGGCTATGGAGCCGCCTCTCCAAGTTGCTGTGGATTTCTGCCTCTGCTCGCACAGCAAGCAGAAGTCCTTTTTGTTTTCTGCACTGCTTGCCGGACTGAGGCGAAAACCAGGCAAGTGCTAGGCCGCGAGAGCACTGGGCTGGAGGAAGAGCAAACCCAGTGCTCACCTGCAATCTTGACAGAAAAGAACCCTCACGACGCAAACCGCAAACCAAGCTCCTAGTTCAAGTCCAAAAGATACCTCTTGCCTGCAGCGCGCGGTAACTCTCCAGCAGGAGACTCGCAGGACATGGCATGTCAGCATCTCAAACGCAATTGCTGGCCCAGCAAAACAAATTACTTTCAAAGATACCGGTCCTGAACTCATTACTTACAAAGAAGCCTGTCCTGAACTCATTGATGTGCCATTCATGCATTCAAGTCTAGTGCTTAAAATTGCCTAAACCCATTAGGACAGTTCACCATAGGCCCACAGCTCATCAAATGCAGGTCATGCACAAAGCAAATGGCAGACATGAAGCCTGGTAAATTGCCATACTCACAAGTAGACTAAACCTGCAGAGCCAACGGGCACGAACAGCAATCGTTTGCAGCCATCCAAAAAAACACTCACACCATACATGCGATGGATGAATTCTGTCACCAAGAATAGGCTTGAGTTCAGTCATGCATGTCAGGCGCAGAAGCATGCGGCTGAAGGGAATCCACCTCTGCTGCAGTGGAAGCAGTATAGCTCTTAGCTGCTGCAGCACTCGCTGAGAGCGCTCCAATTCTGCTTTCTCGGCATTCCATATCCTCAGGGCATAGTGCTGCGAGATGCTCCGAGCAAGAGCTTTAAGACGCTTTTGGCAAACATCCTTTCACAGGAGGGCAGCTCTACACCGTCCTCTCCAGCGAAGCGACGCTGTCAGGCTCTGGCGCAACAGATGGCGTCATAAGCAAACTGGATATGACGGATGGGCTCGTTGTTGTCTGTGCGGGACAGGGTCCTTTGTTTAGCTATCTGTGATGACTTCTTCAGTCAATGATGACTATGCCCCTAAAACCAACTGCTTGCGCCACAACATGAAGCTTAAGCTTTCGAATTGTGATGATGTTCCACCGGCTGCTGCATGCCTGCCAGCACACGGGGTGACAGGCATGTCTGCAAACAGAGCAAGCGAAGCATGTTATGCCTTGAGTATGCGTGCAACTGCAGCAAGACTCGCAAGCTTTGCTACCCTGTGGGCCAAACAGACTTGCACTGCAGGCTTGCGGCACGGCTCCCAGTTACATACATCAAGTTGCAGGCAGCAAGCAAACAGAAGCCTTTTGGCAGGTCTCATTCCCAGAGCTTTCGCAAAGGAAGTCCAGGTCCAGGAGGGAGACCTGAGAGGAAGCCTGCACAAGCTTGCTCGTTTTGGCTTTCACTTCCAACAGCGCACATGGAACTGCCTCTTGTCAACAACATACAGCAGCGACCGCCCACTTCTAAAAAAAACTGTAACAACCAAACACACATAGCGAACTTGGACATGCACACCTGCCTTGCGCATGTTTTCGCAATCGAGATTTGGCAAAAATGCCAGCAGCTGCAGCTAGAGTCGGCAACCCCGAGATTCGCGTAAGCCCACATGTCATGCAAAGAGCAGCCACCACAGCGCATGCAGGAACCACACGACTTTCAAGGAAGTCTGCAGTGCCTGACAAGAAAGCCAGGGCCGCCTGCGCATCTTTGCTGAAGCGGGTGTGCGCTTCCCAGCGGTCAAAAACACCTGAAAATCCTGTCTGGTTCTCCTCGCGGCCAAAGCCAAAGGGGCCACCTCCACGAGCTGCCACCCAAGAGTCAAAGCGTGAAACCAGCTCGTCAGCATTTGTTTCCAGAAGATACTCTGTCGGTGGCCCACCAAACTTCTGAGAGGACCTAGGCTCACGAAAACGTCCACTTTGAACTGCCCGCAGCCCAACAGAATCTTGAAAAGACAGGATGGTGTTGTCCTGGTCACCAATGAGGCCTTGCATCAGCTTCCAACTCTTCAGGCCTCGTTCAATTTGGTCAAGCTTCGGCCATCTCTTCTTTATCCGGCTTTTAACAGCACTTGCAAAGCTCACACGCTCCTTGTCTATGCCACCAACCGTCCTGCCCTTCAGCACTACTTTGGACATCTGCATCATGTTCCCTGACAGTCCGTTGTCGTCTCCCTTATCGGTCGGAGCTGGCACGAAGTATGATGTTGTGATTTGTCTTACCTTACCAGGCTCAGTGGGCACAAAATAGAAATTGAAGCCAATTGTGCGGCCATCGGGATACACGTACGACGTAGAGTTCGCACATGGCGGACCAAAGCGTCTGTAAGCTTTCATTCCTTTGTTGCTTTGCATGTAGCCTCCATGTCTCGCACTGAGACCATCATCGCCAAGGTCCTCAACTTCAAAAGGTTCCATGGCGTATGCTAGCTCTGGGGCGAAATTTGGCAGAGCGTATTGATGAAGAAAAGGCGCATGGCTGGGATCCCAACTTTGCTCCAGCCAAACCCTCCAGCTTGCCGGCGCATCAAAAACACTCCAGTTCGGGCTTTCAGCCAACTCCTCTGCAACAAAGGGCTCCTTTTTAGAAGCCTCGTCCCAGCTTTCGCTGTGCGGCCACACAAATATCAAACCTTTGACAGATCGCGTGGGATAGGTTCTCAATTTGCTGCAAGCGGCCCCCACCAATTTGGCTTCTGCAGTGGCATCGCCTTCTGCCATAGGAACCTTCACACATGACCCGTCACCGTTGAAGGTCCACCCATGAAAGCGGCACATGAGCTGACCTTCTGAGGTGACCCTCCCATGTGCTAGAGGGGCTAGTCTGTGGGGGCAAATTCCATCCGTGCACCGCCACTTTCCGGCACTATCTTTCCACAGCACCAGATCGCGGCCCAAGAGCCTGATGGGTTCAGGGCCGCTGGTTCTGAGCATGTCTTCGGGAAGGATAGGGTACCATTGCTTCTCCCAATTAAAATCAACACGTGGAGGAAGTGCGTCCTCAGTGCTGAAAGACTTTGACACTGGAGCTTCCACATCTTGCTCCACTCCAACAGATCTCCTTTGCCAGCGCTTGATCGAATAACATTTTTTGAAGCCCAACCCTGCAGCGACCAAAACACACAGCCGGTCACGCTGCGGTTCGTGGGAGAACTTTGAAACAGCAGCTCTGCCAAGGAAAACCTGTGGATTTATTGCGGGATGCCCCAAAGGCACGGAAGGTCGGCCATGTTCTGCTAAATTAGCAGTCAACATGGTGCATGCCTGATTTGTCACCACGTAACACCAAGGCCTAAGGAAATTTCTGCCAAGAATCCTGATTTGCCAGAATGTTGTACACGTCTTGGGTTGGATTCCTTGACCATTTCTTTGCTACAAGCTATGGCATGTTCGTGTTTCCACTTTTTGTGAAGTTGCTCGTTCCAGCTCATGCTTGAACCATTGCAAATGACGTCACCGTGGGTCAAGGCCGGGAAGGCAACAACTGGCTTGTCCAATGAGAACTTTTTTTTTCTCAACAGACCAATTTCCATGCAACACGAAAATCTGTTTCCTCCGTTATCACCGTTGTCGTTGAAAATGCATACATATATGATGGGACCGACCACAATCATGGTCCACTGAGGCACATTCACATCTTGATGAAAAACTCGTGCACCACACTTGACATAAAACAAACATGAAACTCGTCATTATTTTTCTGCTCGTAGTGTAGTTTCAGTGTTTAAGATCCACACAGAGGGTACGTAAGGGAAACATAACTTCGTTGTTCGAAGACCTGAAATTCCAAGTATTTCTATGACATTTCTTTTGAATCTTAAGAACTTGTAGGAAATGGAAAGCACATATTTTGCTTGTTTTCAAAAGTTAGACAAAAATCCTCATGATGACCAACAATTCCAAAACTCTGAAGAATATCTAACCAACTTTTTGGAGTGTTGTCGTTTCTGTATTTGGGAACACTAGGTAAATCCCAAATCCAAGATCCCGGGTCTTCCCTTTAAATGTTACCTAAATTTCCATTACCGTCCATGGGGAACAGAAACCACTGGAAACGAGGAATCCGCGATTCCGGGATTGCCCGTTAATTTGAAGTTGAGTGATACAAAAAAAACACCCAAAACTCCAGGATTCCGGGATTTCTGCTGAATTTCAACTTGCGGCAAAAAGGAATTTATAAACTGCTCCGAAATATAGACAATAGACAATCCAAAATTCCTGAGTTCCAAAATTCCAAAATGATTTAAATGGACCGAAAGCACATCAAATGCCGGAAATCCTGGATTCTGCGATTCTCGTATTATCTCTACGTACAAATTGAAATTCAAAAGTCAAGACGACCGGAATCACCTCCGAAGCAGGAGCTCTGCAAATTCCGGGAGTTTCATATGTTTCGTATATAATGTTCATAAAGAGTTTCGGTACGAGGGCTTGTTTTTTGAAAGCGTTAGTTGTTGCATTGTTTGTTTTCCTGGTCCCTGGGTCCTGGGGTCCTATGGTCCTCCGGTCTCGTGGTCCCGTCGACCTCTGGTCCGGTGGTCCTGTGGTCCCCTGAAACACATCAAGACCAAAAAACGCTGAAATTCACATTTTTTGAAGCGTTCCAATGCGGCTCAATCCTCATATTTTGGTCCCGTGGTCCTCTCGCGTTCTTCCGGTTCCCATTTCCAATCCTCTGATCTCCGGTCCGCACAACCTGTGGTCCTTCCCCGGGGCCCTCGGTTTTCTAAATCCGTCCATGCTTGCCATAAAAAAACATCATATCATCATCAACATATTTGCAGTAAGGTAAAGTTGCGCGGATCATGTTGTTTGCAAATGAGGGGGCTGCGTGCCCCCCACGCCCACCGCTTTTTTAAAGCAGGAAAGGAAGGTTGCGCGGAGAATTTTGTTTGCAAATAGGGGCGGCGGATTGCGCCCCCTCTCCCATCCCTTTTTTTTTAACAAAACGGGTCACTGTGAGAGTGCGCTGTTTCCACATTTTCTAGCGAATCTAATATATTTTTTTGATTTAATGCAAGAATTGCACTCGCACACGGTCTCCCGATGTCCTAATTAGTATTTGCGCTATTTAATGCAAAGAAAACCAAAAAAATGAAAAGAAAATACAACACCAAAAAACACCAACAACAAAACAAAAAAACAGAGACTCCTCAAAGAGGAGTAGGCACCTCGGAGACTCCGGAAAAATTGTGATTTTTGTTTTATTTTGATTTTTGGCATACCGTAAACCTTCGACTTTGCGAATTTGGTTCGGCACTTTCTCCGAAAACCTATATGCTGAACTCGGAGAGCATCTCGGAAACCTTCCATCTACAAGCTGCGCTCAAAGATACGCTTGTCACCGGAGAAGCTTTCGGAAAAAATTCGGACCTTGGAAGGCCGCAGCACAAATCCCAAAAAATTGCTTACGAATATATGAAATCAGGATGTTGTAGGCCT